GCTGGAGAGCTGAGATCTGGAAGCCTCCAGCTGATTATCATTGGTACCAGAGCAGCATGTGGCCAGGACACGTGTAACTCACATTTTCCTCTGGACCACACTCAGCCTGCACTCACTTATTGTGGGGGAGGGACTGGAAAAACCATTGACTCACTGGCAGGAACAAAACATTCAAAATCCTGAAAATGATTCTTCTTAACAAAGCTTTTCTGCTGGTGCAGAGGAAAGGGAACAAGTGTTGCCTAGGAAAGTTTGGGGGCTGCACGGAGTTTTCCTTCCGTGAGAAGTGGGAGGGATCTACTGAAGGGCCAGTTCTTCCTGGCACTGCTTTCATCAGTGTCAGATTTCTACTCCAGCCTTGCTATAGTCTGTACCTGGTTGAACCCATACTGAAAAATTGAGAGCCACTCTAGCTCTGTTCCTCAAATCCAGTCTGGTTTAGAAATGTCTTCATCAGAAATGAAGAAATTTCTAAATGTCTTCATTTCTGATGAATACAGGTCCAGAGGGAGACCCTGTAACTCAAATTCACCTGTCAGCTTGGGCACTGTAACCCAGACCAAAAGGCACCCTGCAAATGGCTAAAATGCACTGAACTGGGAGAGGAGGGGATGAAAGGTTTACCCTGGAATTCAGGAACAACGCAGCTCTGCAAACACTCCCTGGCATTTTTGCAGGTGCTGTTGTGCAGCTCTGTGCCTCAGCTTTCCTACACCAATGGGTCAAAGCCTGCCGTGCGTCAGGCATTCTAAAAGCTGATCTACAGAGAAAGAAGAAAATAAATCTGTAGAAAAACCACAGACATAAAATGCCTGTGGGCAAAAAGGCCTCGAATGTGGGCAACCTCCCCTCTGCCCTGTGCCACAGCCGAATTCAACAGCTGCACTTGTGTCTGGCTCAGTGAGGCTGAAATCCCTTCAGCTACTGACAAAGCTCCGGCAGATCTGAGGAGGCTCTGCTGGGCCTAAGCCCTGAGCCAAGCTTAAGGCTGGATTCTGCTGCATCCAGCTCCATTTGCTGTTACAGTGAGCTCCTGGCACTCTGTGCCCCCTTCCCCGGGACCCTGGGACTCTGCTCAGATAACCCTGGACCCTCCTTCCTGCCCCAACGGGAGAGCCAGGGAAGCCCACCCTGTCCAAAGTCTCTACAGACCCCTGACAATTCCTGTTCTGCTCTTTTGCCCCGCTCTCCACATGGACATCACAGAATAAAGAGAGCTGAACCAACATATCTGGGGTAAGAGCCTCTTTTGGGAATCTTTGCCATCTCCTGATATTCCTCCCCTCACAGCCTCGGACCTCTGGGCTAGCTGATATTCAGGGGGCTGTGTGAGGGGGGGAACATCAATTTGCCACAGTGGATTCTGCCAAGCTGGCCTGAGCAGGGAAAGATGTCCAGCTGTACTTCTCAGCCCTGCTCTCCTGCCTCGGCGCTCTCCCTCAGCCTGCTGCTGGAAAACACAGCACTCATGGAGATCAGCCAGGGCTCAAAGGCCTTTCAAGTATTTTCCACAGAGCACGAAACCTCTGTCTCTGTTCCTTGCTGGCGTCACACAAAGACATTTTTCCCCCCACCCCACACGCTCTCGCAGACACTGAGAACAGCGAGTGTCTCACAGAACTGAAGAGCGTTCTCGTCCTGAAATCTATCAAACACTGAGATGACTGGACATCTGCAGGGAACAGATGCTTCTCATATCCCTGGATGCACTCGATGCCACCCAGGGCAGCCAGAGCTGCTGGGACACCAGGACATCGCTGTGCAGCCGGTGCCTCCCTGCACAGACCACCCTGAGCAGCCCAAACAGCTGATGGTCCAAAGCACACAGCCAGACAGGGAGGTGTTCACAGCACCTGTGCACAGGACAGACCAGGAATTGCTGGAAGAAAGGCTCGGGGGAGATGAGCAGCACAGCAGAGTCCTGGAGGTGAGAGATGCAGTTTGGGCTCAGTGCTGGGTGTGGTTTGGGGGTTCCAGCCCAGTCCTGCTCAGCTCAGGCCGTGCTGAGCCACACACCAAGGTCCTCCAGCCCTGCCCTTGCTGGGGGAAGGTGTCAGCTGGGCACAGGCAAGGCTGGGTTATAGATTTACCCTGCTAACCCTTCTCCTTGCTGGAGAGCTGAGATCTGGAAGCCTCCAGCTGGTTCTCAGTGGTACTGGAGGAGGGGGAAGGCACGGTGAGGACTGTGCACACAAGTGCCCCATGGCTCCTCTCAGAAAACCTCATCCCAGCTCACAGCAGGGCGTGCAGCAGAAGTGACCTGCTGGTTCAGCCTGGGGAGCTTCCAACCAGAAAACCTGAGTCAACCTTTTGCAGGTGAGTATCAGGGACTGACCCCACAACCATCAGCAGGCAAGAACGAGCTCTTTTTGCAGCCACTGCTGAAGCAGAAGGCTCTTGTGGCCTGTAGCAGAGTGGGAATGGATGGAACAGAAGACACCTGTCCTTCAGCCTCAGGTTCTGTTTCTCTGCTGAGCACCCAAGGAAGCAGGAGCAGGTGCCTTTGTTTTGGCAGTCTGAGGCTGCCAAGCCAAGGCTCTGTGGGAAGGACACTTTGAAGACAGATCCTGTGCTGTTTTCACAGCCCAGCCTTTCATGGTGTGACTCTTGGAGATGGATGGGTGAGATCATACCTGCCAGGTGAGAAAGGGAAGAGCTGTGCTGACAAGTCCCACCTACAGCACCGGGAAAAGGGAGATGAGGATGTTGCAAACTGTCAGCTTTAGTCTGTACTCAGCTAAGCTGAGCCCTCCAACTCCAAACCCACGGAAGTTTAGAGTTGAAATCCTCAAGGCATTAATCTAGCTCTGTCCCTTCCAACAACCAAGGAGCTGCCAAGCAGCAGCACTGGGTGTTACACAGAAATAATCCCACCCTGAGCTTCTCATGGCATCATAAATTGCCTGTGTCGTCAGTCAGCAGAAACCTGAGATGAAATTCTTTCGTTTGCAGTTAATTATTTCCAAGCCTTTGCAGCCTTAGCAGAACTGGTGAAAGGTGCTGAGCTGACAGCCCTGAAGAAACAGGCTCCCCACGTGTCCACGGGGCTGGGCAGAGGGGAGCCAGCAGCAGCAGTTTTATCCTGCTCTGTCAGCGCCCTGCAAGGCTGGGGCTGCTCTTGCTTCCTCCTGCTCCTCGCTGAGCAGCTCTGCTCACACGGCCCTGGAAAAGCCCAGCCCCAGACTGATGGAGCTGCTTCCAGGGC